GTACACACATGTACACAGAACGTGTGAGCATGGGCTGGAGTTAGCAGTTAGCAGTTCTTCCCAATCCTGCAGGGGGACCCAGGTTCATTTCCCAGCACCCACATGCTGGCTTTCCACAACCGTCTCTAGCTCCAGTTCAGGGGATCAGACACCCTCTTGTGGCCTCTAAAAGCACCAGGCATGTACATCCACATATCTACATGCAAGCAAAGCACTCATGCACGTTAAATAAAGCAACTTAAAATGGGGCTGGAGAGAAGGCTCAGCAGTTAAAAACACTGACTTCTCCTCCAGGGGACCTGGGCTTGATTCCCAACACCCACATGGCAGCTCACAACTGTCTGTAACTGGAGTTCCAGGGGATCTGATGTCATCTTTTGGCCTCCGAGGGCACCAAGGATCCAAGCAGTACACAGACATACTCGCAGGCAAACCATACACATAAATAATCAATATCTAAAAAATGTGTCTGCATTCATTCATAGTCTAGCTAGTTATTATAAAATATATAAAATACTCACTTTGTTTTATATTTTTTATGAAAGCTGACCTTCCTTCTATAAGATTCCATGTTCTGCAAAATAGAAGGTTTGTTTACAGCGTGATCATCATGTCACCAAGTAGAAAAAAAAAAAAAAAAAAAAAAAGCACGACACGCCTCCACACAGGGCAATCTCACTACATGCTATATATTTAAAGCACCTGACATTTACTTTGTAGCAATGTCGATAAAAGTTTTTCTTCAAGTATGATTAAAGCTCAGCCCTTTCCTGAATCTTTAAACATGTTATCCATTACATTTTCATCTATTCAGACATTTCCCTTCAGGGTCATTCTCCTCGATTTACACTACAATAACTCAAATATGGGCCTGTTCGTTTTTTTTTGGGTCAGGGTCTCAGCCTGGAACTTGCTATGTAGACCAGGCTGGCCTCAGATTCACAAAGAGCAGTCTGCTTCTGCCTCTGAAGTGCTGGGGTTAAAGGCATGCACCACTTTGCCTGACCAATAGAGATCATTTTTACACCAGCATTATGAAATAGTTTCTACTGCCTTTCTGCTTTGCTCTGTTATCCTTGTTATCACAATACATTAAAATGGTTGACAGCTTTGGAAACAGATAGATATGGAAACAGTATTTTGTTATTGCTAAGTAAAAGACACATTAGTAAAGGTGCCCTTGGGAATTTATAACTTACCTTAATGTCTTATCAGTACCAACAGACAGAGCCAACTTGCCAGACGGGTGAATAGAAAGGAAAGTCACATGTCCTCTAAAAGGAAAGGGACAGTTAGCCCGCCTTCAGCTTGACTGGCACAGTAAGAATGCCAACAGGACCAAGGGGACTCACTTGTGAGCTTTAATGGACTTCAGGCATTCCCATTTCTTCGCATCCCATACACAGATGAGTCCATCTTCTGCGCCACTGATTAAGTGCCTGCTGCCATAGAATTTCAGGCAAGTTATGGTGCCTGTGAAAAAGCAAGACAGGCAAAATTCTATCCACTTTGAACACAAATGCTGTCTCTGGTTGGAAGTACAGGAGGATGAATGCAGTCTGGAAGTAGCTCTGTCTAGCACAGACAAGATCCATATTCAATCCCTGGTACCACGAAAGCAGAGACAGCCAGTGCTTTTGCAGAGCTGAGTGATTGTAACACGGGCCATACACAATGGTCCACAACAACACTGACCATTTGGTCCTTTGTAGACTATAATTGAAAACCCCTGGGTCACTATTTCCATTAGGATGTATGACCTTGTTAGAGGAAATGTGCCACTGGGTGTTTCAAATGCTCGTCAGGCCCAGTGTCACTCTCTCTTCCTGCTGCCTGACAGTCCAGAAGTAGAACTCTCAGCTACCCCACTAGCACCATGTCTGCTTGCATGCTGCCGTGCTTCTCACCATGATGATAATGAACAAACTTCTGGACTGAACACTTTCCATTTTAAGAGTTGCCTTGGTCAGTTTGTCTCTTCACAGCGATAGAAGAGGGACCAAGACAAACTTACCACTGTGATGCACCAGAGACCCATGATCGATCTTCTTTTTCATGTCATAAATGTGAATCGTTTCATCTTTGCTGCCTGTGACTACAAAGCGACTGTTCGATGCCACAGCTGACAAGGAGGCGGTGTGGGCATGGTGAGTGAAGTCAGCCACAGGGGTCCATGTCTAAGAAAGAATGAAACATATAGTCAAGACCACAGCCACATCACAGTTCTCTGAAAATATAGTTCCACAATCCATAAAAATCAACCAAATGGAGAAAAACTAGGTAATAATAAAAGACTGGAGACCTGAATAAGGAGTGTAACAAGGGGAATTTAGGATTGGTGGCGTATCTCCAGATCCCAGTAATGGAGACTTACATACAGGCTTCCATATCAGTGATTCATTCAAATGTTCAACTTTCTATGTGAATTAATTCCAGTAACATTGCCTACTCTCTCTCATCTCTATTAAATATGCTTGATACCACTATGGGTAGCAGAAATAACAACAAACAGAGGTATTTATTCAAATGCAACTTTCACTCCAAGAAAAGAAATACAAAACTAATTAATGTTATAAGATATGATAAGTCCTATAAAGAAAAATAAGACCATGTGGGTATATTCTCATTAACACTAACATGAGCCCTCGAGAACTGCTAATAATGAGTCTCAGGGACCAGATGCTCACTACTATATGTTTTTGGTTTGAGAAACATGATTGGATGAGTACAAAGTACAGAACACACGCACACACATACAGTACTCTTCAAATTGAAGGAGCTATGTGGAAAGGTATTATTAGTCAAGGAAGAAAGAAGAAAACAAAACAAGAAACCCCAGCAAAGTTCTCTGCATGATGCCTAAGGTGAATCTCCCCACACATCAAGTCCTAAAGACTACAGCAGTAGACAGTCCTCCCATCAATCAGGGGCAATAGGCCTCCTTTGACTCAAGACACAATGTACCTGGAGCTTGTGACTTTAACCCCCCCCCCCTTCTTCTTTTAAAATTCTACTTATATAGCCCAGGCTGGTCTTGAAGTCACTATGAAACCCAGGCAATTTTATACCTCCTCCTCCTTTTTTTTTTTTTTTTTTTTTTTTGAAACGGGGTCTCCTTATATAATTTTTGAAAGGCATGTCCATCATAGATGGCTTAAACTTTTAACTCTTAATTCTCCTGTCTCAGCCTTTTGAGTAGACATGGGCCATCTGATTCAACCATTCTACAACTTTATGTCCAAATACATAAGTATTTGTTACCATGGTTACTGGCTAGATTTAGAAGCAGCACCTAGTAAAGTTACAAATGTAAGCCTAGGAAACACCCGTGGGCCCTGACATGTTATATTTGTAAACTGTGTGGCCTTGAGCAGTCTCTTGGCCTGTGAGAAATCTTCCAATTGCTTGTCTGTAAAATGAGAATGGCTGTATCTATCTCAGGGTTGCTGTGCATCTGGAACAAGCATATTACAAAACAAAACAAAAACAAAAACAAACAAACAAACAAAAAACACACTAAGGTAGTACCCAACAAAACAGACTTGTAGGCGATAAGTGGAACTGTTCCAGAAGTAAACATCTGTAACATTAGATCACATCTCTAGTCCTGTATTGGATCACTGTTCTAGTCCTGTATATGCCCTGTTATCATGAGGAGTATTGGATCACATCTCTAGTCCTGTATATGGCTTGTTATCATTTGGAGTAATGGATCACAGTTCTAGTCCTGTATGTGGCCCTGTTTACTGTTTGACTACCATGTTGGCAATTACCTAGATCTGCTTATTTTCATACCTAATAAAAATAATTTTCACACTGTGCTACACTCTATGTCTTCCTCTCCCTTGTTCACCAGCCCTTCAATCAGGACGGTTCCCAGAACAGGAGCCACACCTCTGGCACCTTGTCACCCTGTCTCCCTACCCACGGTAAAGTCACAAGAAATAGTGAATTTCTATGACTGTCTTGATCCCAACCCAGCTGTAATATTTTGTTAATCAGGATAGAAACTCAGTGAAAGGTAAAGTCATTTTTACATTAGAACTTGAACATCTAAATTAACTTTCAGCTTAAATGCTCACCTCATTTTTGTATGTGTTAAAAATGCCAGCTTTTTCATGCCCTGAGAATGCTTTAAGTTTTTTTTCCTTTCAGTTAACATACAATGACTGCATGTATTTATGAAGCACAATGTGATATTTCAATACATTGTAGTTAGATCTGAAAAAAGAAACAACCTATCTATCCCTCAAATAAGTGTCATGTCTTTGACAACATTCAAAATATTCTCTAGTAACTACTTTAAAACATGCAATTGACTGTTACCTTACTAGGTTACAAGAATAGTTATCTTACTAAGCAAAAAAAAAAAAAAAAAAAAAGTCATTCCTCCTATCCAGCTGCATTTCTGCAAGCATTAGCCATCACCTCCCTATCCTGGTCCCCTGGCCCCAAAGCCTGACAACCGTTCACCTCCTTTCCACACTGCGATCCACGTTTTCGTTTCAGTCTGTAGGCATTTTCTAACTACTATAACAAGTAGATACTATCTCATTCTGAAAAGCCTCTACTCTGTAAAGAGCAGTGTCTTTCTACGCAAGCTTTGAGCTCACAATCCTCCTGCCTCGGTCTCCCTGGAGTTGGGATTACGGCATAAGCTTGTCTGTTTTCTACGCAAGCCCTCCAACAATTATCTACGGAGACCCAGCAAACACCACCAGGCGCCGCAGTGTCCGCCCGGGAGGGAACCGGGCTCCCCTCCCCGCCGGTGCCCCGCAGCCCCGGGCCCGCGGTCTCTCACCTCCCGGTCGCCACTCTTCGCGGGCTTGCGGTGCACTGCGAACCCAAACAGGACCTGCTCGTAGCTGCCAGCGACCAGCTCCATTCAGCAACGCACGTGCGGCGCAGGGCGAGCCGGCGTAGAAGCCCGAGGAGAGGAGGCCGGCTCTTTTAGCTTCGGCGCGCACATTACGCGTCATCACCCAGGGGCACCTTTTAGGCGCCTGCGTCTGTAGCGAGTGAGGGCACGCTCGAAGGTCACGTGGCCCTTCTACGTGGAGCTGGAGGAACGAAGCCGCAGGCAGGGGCGCTCACAGCAGAGAGGAAAACGTGGTGGCAAACAGGCAGATCCTGAAAAGCCGTGAGCAGGGCGGGCCTTGGGAAGTGGGCGGGAAATACTCCGCGAATGCCCCAATTTCCGATGGGTCTATGGAAGGGGCGGGCCGGCTTCCGGC